AAAATGATCATATTTGTAAGGGGAAACAACTATATGACTCAAGGGCTAGGAATATGAATTTTAAAATAATTTTATAATGCATGACGAAAGGTAGTTATTTTTGAAATATTAATCGTGGGATTGATGTGGTAGATAAAGAATGTTTCACACACATATAAAAGAATTTGTAAATACCCTCATAAAATCTATATCTTGATGAATGAGTCTTATGTAACCAGCTAAATTTTATACCAAAGTATCCTATATTTTTGTCACAAAAAAATAATGAAAATATAAAAATTTTGAGACTATTATATAAACAAACAAAATTTTTATTATTGTAGATAAGAATTTAAAAAATTAAACATTCAATGTTATATTAATAGCGATTCCTTTAAGATAATCTAATCTTGATCGATTTTCGAAGTCAGAAACAATTGTTACTATTCTCGCATGTAGATTTCGATATTTTTTTCTCGGGGTAGAGGGTGTTTCACCAGAATTATATTGAGCAATTTTTAACTCTGTCAACCCTTGTTGTTTTTTTAAGCCTAGGAAAAATTATATAGTTTATTAGTAAATCTTTATACTTTTTAAATCATTTTAAAATAATAGATTTATAGATAACTTGATATAAATTTCCACATGTTTGGATGGTAACTTGTTAGGAGGGAACTGAAGCATCTATGCCACCCTTCAACCGCGTTGTTGGTTTTCGCTTCCCCGTTCAGTGTTGATTGGTAACAATTCCAGAGTTCAATATTAAACAAAGCAGGTAGTCTGCCTCTTCCAAACGTTTTACCAATATAAGCTTTTTCAAAAGTTTCAATTAGAGGCTGAAGTAACAATTGATTATTAGAATAAAATTCGGAGTTTATTAGTAATTCAAATGTTTCAACTACATTTAAGGGTGGCACAAACGCCAAACAAACCATCATTCTAAGTTGTATATTAAATTCTACATCTGTTTTATATTTATGCGATATTTCTGGATATTTTTGAATGTTTCGCCAAAAGGATTGGCCAAAATGGAAATAGCAACATTTGTGTTGCGAATTGGGAAACACTTCATTGAAAGCTTTTACACTGGCCATTTCAAAATCCGTCATAATTTTTTTTGGAGTTGATATTAAGTTGTCACCTATAATAGTAAATATTCTTTTATAAGTTTCATAATCCTTTCTATTGGTCAATATATATATGAGGGTAAAACATTATTATTTCTAATCCCATGAATTGTATAAATTTGCATAAATAAAGGTGGCGACGATTTAAATGTACCATCAGAAAACCAATGTTCGCATGAAGCTAAGAAGTCCATATTTTTTCTTGTTCCAAATATGATAACACGGTCGGGAACCTGACACACATGATAAATAAATAAGCAATTATAATAAAGTGTTTCTTATCGGGCAGCTTATCGCAACAAAAATGAAGGATTTAGTTATATTTGTTCAAAAAATTTATAGAAAATCTTACCGGACCATCATCATGAAGTATGAAATCCTCATATTTATCTGTAATTGAATATTCATGCGGAATTACGAGCTCAATAAGGCTGCTAGGATTCGGAGGTGCAAAACTGTTTGAACTCCGCGTTCGGTGAATTATACGTTTCATAAGATTCGGTGATGGTAGTGCCATTGATATAGAATCACTTAATTGAGATACGTGTTTCGCCACAATAAAGTTTGGAGTTTCCATAGTATTATTCAAAGCTTCATTCTTAATTGAATTGATTATTTTCTTGGTTTCCATTTCGATTGGATTTTCTGGATGATTGTGTATTTCATTATTATCTTTTATCTTACCATTTTTTTTTGTGAGTCGTACGGGACATTTAAAAATATCCTGATTGATACATCTATAATAATTAGTATCTGAGACTACTTTATCCAGGCGGAACAAATAATTTTTAAAGGTTAAGATCTCCTTATTTTTGCTTGATAACATATTTTATAAGACTCCGAAATAAAGAGGAAAGAATGGCGAAAATATTTATAATTTATAACCAAAGGAATGGCACCAGCCAGACGGGAAAATTTTTTTTTTTAAATTTCAGCAATACTTTTTTTTTAAAATAGTTATAATTTATCAAATATGTCATTAATTATTTGTTAATTTTTAGTGTAGCTATTTTTTTTATTATATTTTAAAATTATTTAAGATTCAATAAGAACCCATATCAAAATATTATATTTAAATTAATGCCGAGTTATTATACTAAAAATTTTATCACGCCCCATCCCCCACCCCCTTCAAATAAACAGAAAAGATAAAAAGATATCTATAAAGATTGAAAAAAATAAAATTAATAAATATTTTAAATTGGGGAAATCCCTTATTTCACTTAGATGTAATTTATTTTTGAATTGCCATTCAAAATTGATATTCTAAACAGTAATGTTGTAGACTTTATTCATCTACACTGTTTAAGAATAGTGACTGCCAAAACCACGGTTGTGCATTTGACCGATCAAATATAGTTAAAATCAAATAAATATTATTTTATATTGAATAT